CAGTCAAGCATGCTCGTTTTCGATGTTCTTGTTTATATTTCGGTGAGTCGGCAATCAGCATGCATTAACGTATAACTTGGGCGATAATTAGAACTAAACTTTAGATACGAAAATTAATTTTTAGTAAACATATACACATATATATACGTATATGTATTTATAAGTATATTTTATACCATTTATAGCTTATGTAAAGTATTTATTAATTTTTTTGGCAATATCATGAAACACGTGCAATAAATTTTCTTCACTTTAATTTATATTCAGCTGAACACCCAAATATTTTCTAAATAAATCTATCTCTCTTTTTCTGATAATTTTAAACATATCTACCTTACGTTTGTTGTCTTAAATGAGCTCACAATTGATGACCTCTTTCGGTTTTGTTAAGCTGCAATCAAGGTGCGCGCTTTGAGTTCTTGTTTCGCTAAGAAATTGAAAAAGCAAAGGAAAAATGTTCAAGTAAAATATTTGCTAACTGAGGAGCCCAAGCGCCGCCCAATATCAAATTTGGCAGTGGCATGCCCTTTTTTCTGCGAGCCAGCTTCGTTGGTTCAATACCCTGTAAGAGGTGTAACAGGGTGGATTGAAGTGATGATTCTGGTTGTTGCTGAAGAAGATTATGGCTAAGATTACAAGGAAGCGTTTTGAGCAAGATTGAACTTGATATTTTAGCTACGGAAAATATAAAAAAAAAATATTATTACTAGAAGTAAATAAAAAAAGTAAAACTTTATAGAATGATTTTAGAAATAATAAACATTTTTTCTAAAAATATTTTATATAATTACCTAGACTCAAAAGTTAGGCCAGAAAAAAGTGTTTCTAAATATGTGAAATATTTATCAGTTAAAGCTCAATTTATGTAAGGTTTATGAATTCCACGGTAACTCTGAGTGTGGGCAGCTCCACTCTTGTTGGTTTACTTTAGCTGCTGGTAGTTGGCTGCCTGGTTTGGCCCGGCCTGGCCTGGCCCCACTTGGAGCTCTTCGCGAGCCGCACAACAAATGCAAACAGGCAAAGTTTGTTTTGTCATTCGTTCGTTTGCAGCGCGAGCAGAAGCCAAGCAAAGCGTTGCCAATGATTACGACAAATGCCGAAACGACCTTGCCAATTACTGTTTGCGGCACGACCCGCCCCTTAGCCCACCTACGCCCATCGACCACATGTACGTACATACATACATACGTATAGCCAAGAGCTGGCCACAAAATTTGTACGTTGCGCCGCGCTGTTTGCGTATGCGTGGCGAATGCTCAGCCATGTGAGTGTGTGTGTGTGTGTGTGTGTGTGTGTATGTTTAACTAAGCAATGTTAAAGGTTAAATGCAAACCTTAAAAATTATTGACGCTACACATTGCGCGCTCTTTAAAAGCCACAAAGAGCGCCCAGCCAAACCCGAAAAAAAAACATCATGCATTATTTTCAGAGATACAATTCGCATAGCTTATATGTGAGCGTGTGTATGTGTGTGTGTGAGTGTGTGTGCCACGCTGTTGAGTATACAAAAAAAAAATAGCTTGCAAATAATTAGCGCAAATTTGACGCCAGTTGCTCAGCGCCGAGTGCGTGCGATCGCAGCGTTCGAGTACGTGTATCTATGAGATACAGATATCTTTGCCCATGTACATGAGAGTAGGCCGCACGATGGGAGAGAGAGAGAGAGAGAGCGAAAGAGAGAGAGCGTGACTGCCTCTGCCTGAGCGCTAGAAAAAAGTGAGAGAGTGTAAGCGTGAGAGAAAGAGAGAGTGAGTGTGTGTGAGAGCAAGCGACGAGCTTGGGCGCGCGAAAAGTTTGCTGCTGTTTGTTGTTGTTGTTGTCGTTGTCGTTGTTTTGGTTTTTTGCACAAAACGTGGATAGCTGCTAAACGGACGATCTATGCGCGCTTTTTTTCTGTTTCTTTCTTTTTGCCGTAGCATCTTTTGTGTGTGCTTTTCGCAAACTTTACGCACACAGCCGCTGCCCCCTTCCTATGTGTGTGTGTGTGTGTGTGTTTGTGTTTGTAGTTGGGCCAGTAGCGCTGGCAGAGACAACAGCGGCATCCACTTAAGAGCTGTTGCGCACATGTGCCGCAAGAACTGAATAGCAAACACGCACACACACACACACACACACACACACACACACAGATAAAGAGAGAGACACACACAGCCAGACAGCTGGGTAAACCGGCATGTCAGGAAAGCTAGCTAAGCGATCCAGCCAAAGGCACGAAGCGCACTCGGACTTTGGTTCGGACTTAGTCTTAATCTAAGTCAATTCTAATGCATGCATTGCAGCCGCTGCTCAGAGAGAGAGAGCGCGAGACATGTGCATGCCAGAGCGAGAGAGCGACAGCGTTAGAGAGAGAGGGAAATAGAGAGAGAGAGAGAGAGAGAGAGAGAGAGAGAATGCGAGAGCAATTGCAGTTTGCCAGCTTCAGCATTTGCCACATGCGACGACGACGACGACGCTCTCAGCTGCAACGGCTGCCACTGAGACGCTGCTGCTGTTGTTGTTGTTGTTGTTGCTGTTGCTGCTGCTGAACGTGTTCTTTTTAGACTTTTAGCATTATTTGCAGCATTTGCAACGAACACTCGCTAAAAACAACTGCAACCGCAACGTTGTGGCACGCGTTTCTATCGCACTACGAAATACAAATAAAAATAAAAATAACAAAAAACAAAAATTAGAAAAATATTAGACAAGTAACTTAGTCCTAGACTAAAAGTCCGCCAGTGGCCTGAACTGTTAACAAGTGCTAAAACAAAAATATACACATATAATCGGTGCAATATATACGATATAAATATATCTCAATATCAAGCAACATAAACAAAACCGAGGAAGCATGCAACATGTGTCGCGCAACTTTGAACTCTGAATGAGATCAGCGGCTATTTAAGCCAGGCAAACACACCCACACACACACACACACGCTGGCAAAGTATGTGGGAGTTGTGAAATTTTGGACTAACTAAAATACACGAAAAATTCTCTAGCTTTGTCTCGCTTCTGGGAAGCAATCGAACAAGTTGCATTTTCCAGTGAATTGACAAGTTTTTGGCGCTTGGTGCGGAGCGAAAACATTTGCATATGACGGCTTCTTTATAGGCACACATTCCCACTAATGTAATGCTATATATGTAATGCTATATAGGTTTCGATAGAAACTCCCAGTGTGATAACGCGCTACGAAACGAATGCAAATTGTGCGTGCATTTTGTGTGAATTTGCGCTAAAACAACAAAAGCTGCAGAAGCACAAAAACAACACACAGCCGGCACGCCCCCCCAGCCCCGGGCAAACAGCTGATGGCCAGCGGCAGCACAGATCCTCATCATATCGTCGTATCTATATGTCAGTTCCTTTCAATTTCTAAACATGTGAGACGCACATTTTGCACGGTCTCCAGCAATTCCAGGGAATTCAAATGATATGAGAGATTCAGACTGAGACCGAGTCTTATATATATACATATATATTTTGGGGGGATGATGCGCACAAAAAACGGAACAGCAAAAGAGACAAAACGAGACTTACACACACACACACGCACACTCAGGCGAGGCAGATATAAAGCCAAAGATCGGGTACTAGGTTAGCAGGCAAAAAGAGGAATAGGAATAATAAAAAAAAACCAAAAACAACAGCAACAACAAACACATACATAAAATGCTCTTAAGCAGACGAGCGGCTGTCGCCGAAGAAATTCGCAAATTGTTCGTTTGAAAGCGAAAACCCAGCGTCAGATACACAGACAGCGACAGCTACAGATACAGCTCACAGATACAGATACAGCAACAGCAACAGCTACAGCTACAGGCAAAGCAGATCGCTGCTGTAAGCGCCTTCAAGGGTGAGACAACAGCAGCGACTGCGACGCCAACTGCGCTGCCGCGTGTCCAATATGCCCTTGATCGTAGCTGCTGCTGCTTAAAATGTCGCGGCAGAGGCAAAGTATCTGTAAGCTTTGCCAGTCCCTTGCCGAGCCGTCCCAGCGTCGAATTTTGGCAACACACAAAAAAAAAAAAACAAGCAAAAATATATATACACACACACATACATTTATACATACATTATATATAAATATATAAATGTATAAAGACAAGCATAAAGAGCGTTTGCCGTCCGCCTTTAGATACTCGCATTTTTGCTCAGTTTTTGTTGTGTGTGTGTGTGTGTTTGTGTTTTTTTTTTTTTTGCGCTTTTGTGCTTTTAAATTATGTTATTTATTTTGTTTACTTGGGAATTGGGAATTGGCAAGGGTCTGTCGTACAGCCAGTCGGCGTTACGTGCTGCTGCGGTACGCTCTGCTTGATTTTCAGTTGCCACAAGAACACATACATACATACATACATACATATTACAAGCATGTGCAAAGTGTATCCGTATCCGTCAGATACAAGACTTAGCTACTAATTAGCCAAACAGAACGCGCTCTCTCTCTCGCTCTCTAGTTCTACTATCACTCATTACGAGCTGCCCTATCTCTAGCTCGCCGTCTCCCTCTCGCCCTATCGTTCGACATCACTCTCGCACTCTCTCGCCCTCGAATTGTGTAATAATTTTTGCCAAAATGCCAACAACAACAACAACAAATATTTCGCGTGTTCTTCACAGCTCATAAAATTTTTTAGTGCCGCTCGCGTAGGAAGTCGCACGTAGACAAAGCCCGAACGTTAGAATGCGCGTGTGTGTATTCCAGATACAATAAGAAGACGAAGATACAATACAACTAATTGATTGGTGCAAACATTGTGCAAAACTGAACCGTTATAAACTGCAGCTAACCAAAAGTTACAAATTAAAAATAATTCTCTAATTATTTCAATTTGTTTTGTATCTCGAGCCGAGCCAAAGCATTGCAAATGTTATAAAAGAAAACATTAAGTTGACAGTGTTTTTGCGGAAATGACCAGGTGCGTGTTTGTATCTTAATTATTGAGTATTTAAATATAAATTAAAATATATTTAATGTAGAAATCATCAATTGAGCAAAATAACAGATGTTAGTTAACAGTTGTTCCAGAATAACAGAAATTCATTGGGTACTTTTATTAACTTGAACTGAATTCGATACAGCGTTACATATACATATATCTATATGCAAACTAACTCTATGGGCACAGTTATATACATTTCCAATAGATACCATTTACCTTCACATATATGTAGATATTATCTATGTACATATGTATATATAACATTTTTTGGTCAATGTTAGCTTATGAACTTATCAGCTCAACTGTTGGAATTAATTCATACTTTAGTCAAATTTATGCACGACTAAACATAATAAATACAGTTTTGTATATTTTTTGTATAAAAACAGAAGGTTAATAATGCCAAAAGTATGTTTGCTATTTACATATAAATTACAAATTTGGAGCATTTTGAATCACATATACATACATATATACAAGAGAAATTATACATAGAACTGTAAGGAATATTCTGAAAGAATATTTATTGCTAGCAGGAATTTTTCATATAGTAATGTGTTGCATTTCATTTAAATATATTTTTTATTTTATCATAAAAAATATTTATATGCACATACATATAGACATATTTACACAACTTGCTAATGGAAGTAACAAAGAGTTGTAGGATTTGCCAATTTTCAACGCCTCCAGCAGGCGTAACATATATAATTTTTCGATAAATTTTTAAAGAAGGTCAACTAAGTTAATTAACACATTTTGGGTCTAAAACTTTTGGGCTACAGAAAATAGTTATGGCCTATATACAACTATACAACCTTGATGTATGATTTGCTTGACTTGTATAGACGACTATATATTGCAAATTAAACGCACAACTTTTGACAACTATCAATAATTATCGAATACTTAAAATAATCTAAAAAGTCTCCAATTTGTAGCAACGAAAGCTTTTCGGATTGCCGATTTCTTAGCTGAAACCTGAACAGAGCTATGATGTTATGTTGAGAATATAGAACCGGAGAAAATGTGAATATGCTTCTATTAGAGTTTATTAGCTTGATCTTAGCATATCTGTTTTCAACGCGAATAATAGGTTTAAATACAGTCGATTCTCGATGTTTTGTATACCGCGATAAATCGAAAATATCGTTCTCGATCATTCTCGATAGTTTGAATTTCTGTACAAATCGAAACTCAACTCTTTGCCGTTTCGCATTCACGGAACTCGACTGTACTATGTGCATTTCTTATGATTGCAATAGTATTAGCTACTATAATGTCTTTTATATATCAAGGACCTTTACGTATTTCAAGGCTCACGTTCCACCCTTCAGTACTTTTCGAGTAAATCAATCATAACTAAACAATTCATCATAACTTTTTTAATGCATTCTAATTCACTTGTGAATCAACCCACCCAAGAAATAATAAAAAACGTTAAGAATAATTTGCACTGCTGGTCAATTATAGTTGCATTGGCCAACTTAGCTGGCCCGCATCTGGTTTCCAGCGCCCAGTTGGATATCAATTGAGCGCAGCTCCAACTTGGGTGGGGTTCGAGCTGAGCTGAGCGGAGCTGAGCTCTGAAAGTCGTCTGCCCGCGCCCAGCTGCTCGATGTGGTGTGGTTGCCAAATCGATTCCAATTTAGTCAAGGACAAATTGGCTCTAACTGGGGCTCAGCTCGGGCGACGTCATCGCTGGCAAAAATAGATGAAGTCGTAAAACCAACAAAATTAAGTATACGCAATGCTAATTGAATAATTTGAATTGTTGCACCTACAACAGCAGCAGATGCTTAATATAGTTGTTGCAACTGTTTGTTGTTGTCACCGTTTGTTGTTGTGTTTGTAACAGATATTTTGACAGCTTTGACTAAGCCGGCGTGGGCGCAGGCGTGCCAATTGCTCTTGTGGGTGGCAGCAACAGCAACAGCAGCAGCAGCAGCAACATTTACTTTGTTTTCTAATCAATGCAAATGCACATTTTTGGTCAATTGTGCGGCGAATGTAATTTATAACATTTAACAGTATGCGAATGCCTATTTGTTTTTGTTAATTCAAACAAATGGCAATACGCTACAGCAGCAAAATATCAAGTGATGTCATCCTGCAGCTGGCTCGATTGCTGCTGCTGCTGCTGCTGCTGTGACAGACACCCGGGGTCAGGTTAAAGTTGAATCATTTGTTTGTTGAGCAAACACGATTTTTCTTTTAGCACACATTTTCGATATTGCCTGCTAATTAATTGAAAGCCATTTTATCGCAGACACAAAGCCAACTGGCCATCAATATCACAGCAACAACAACAACAACAACAACAACAACAGCAATTGTTGCTATTATTATTATTACGTTAGAGTGCAACAATGGGCAGCAATTGGGGGCAATATGCGCAGCGAAGATCGCCTCGGTGGCAGCTTCTAACTGCGCTTTTTGTTAGCATTTCAGACACGCCCACAAAACAAAAGCGCACACCAAAAAGAGCAAAAAAAAATATATATAAATAACTGGCACAGGCTTTGCCTCGACAGAGTCCTCCAACGAAACAAAAGCGAAAACAATAACAACAACAACAACAGGCACAATAACAAGTAAAAGTGTTGCACGTAACAGATACCCTGTAATTAGGAGAGATAGAAGCTTAGTTAAATAACTTATTTATATTTGCTGTATATTATGCATAAAATAATCTATAAAGCTATTCCCAATAGATATTTCGATATAAATTTCGATATTTATCAGGTGTTAGGGGGAAAAGCTTAGATTTGCTTTGGTTAGAAAACGCATTTATATATGATCTTGCAAGGTATACAAGGTTATTGAAAAGTAGAGATTCTCAATAGAATATAGAATTAGAAATTTGTCGATGAAGCAATAATAAGTAGTTTGATATTTATCGATAAGGCAATAATCAGTAAAAGGATATGTCTGTTGGGAGACAGAGTCTTAGAGACTTCTTCATAGCTGATCTTGCAATATATAATGTTTAACAGAATCTATGAGGCTACTAGAAAGTAGAGAAACCCAATGACCTTACAGATTTCGATATTTATCGATAAAGCAATAATAAGTCAAGGTATGGGAAGATTTCAATATTTATCAATAAAGCAATGATAGGTAAAATAATAATAATTAAGAGGAAAAGGTTGAGATGATTTGCTTTAGTTAAAAAACTTATTTATATTTGATCTTGCTATACATTATGCATAACAGAATCTATAATGTTATTGAAAAGTATAAAATCCCAATAACTTTATATACCTTGAAATTCATCAATAAATCTTCTTTCCCTATATACTGAAGAGGATTATAGCTTCCAAAGTTGAGCTCTGAAATACTTATCTCTATTGCCATTTATCCCTATCGCTTCTAGCTTGCGGTCCATATTCTTATTATATATTCACCCGACCCACAACACAGCTAATACACCCTATAGGGTCCATTTGCAATGACTCTAGGGTATTCTAAAGCCAGACAGCAGCTTGAGATTCTCTTTCTTCGTTTTGGCATTTTCAGTTTCGTTTGTTTTTTTTTCAGCTTTTTTCTGTGTTTTGTTGGCCGTCGCCTGCTGCCTGTTTGGCTGCTTAGCTGTTGGCCATAAGGCTAGTGGCTTACAACAAATAAACTGCTTTTAACCTTGAGCTGCGCGCGTTTAGTTTGTAAGTCACGTCTAAGTCGCCATCGCCGCTCAAAGGTTTGACAGTCGCCGATGACGCTGGCAGCGCAGCTAGTAGCGACGCTGGCAGCGCTCTTTTTGGCCACGGGCAGCGACGCGTCAAATTCGCTTTATTTCGGTTTTTTTTTTCTTGCCATTTTTGCAAATTTTTGGCGTGCCTCGTTTTTACCCTTTTGCCTTGTTCTTGTTGTCAAGCGTGAGCGAGTGTGTGTGTGTGTGTGTGTGTGTGTGTATCTATATATAAAAAATTTTTTTTTTTTTTTGGGAACTTGTAAGCTGCGCCGCTTGACCAATTTGAGTTTTTAAGTTGAAGTTTTGCACGCCACGAAAAAGGTTAAAACATGTTTCTGAAGTAGGTTTTCCACTCGCTTCTAATGGCCTGCAACATTTAACTAGCTGAGGCTCAGCTCCGAGGGGCAGCTCCGAGGTGTTAGCCAGCTCAGGTATGGCTTATGTAATGCCAGGTAAAATGAGACAAAAAGTAGAAATACAAAACTAAACTGCCTATTCGTGCGAAATACATTAAAATGTCTTATATCAGGGTTAACATGATTTTTATCACATTGCAAAATATTATAAAGGGGCTCGGTTCATTGCGTAACATATTTAGGGTACAGTTTAGATACACAATATGGGCACAGTTTGTTATATTGAAATTCACAATCCACTTTATATTATATAATTAGAATTAGTATTTGATATGAATCCTCATAGTCAATCCTTTTATATATTTAAAGATCATCAAAACTCCCCTCGGAAATGTCCATTATGTATGATATCATATTACATTCTAGTTCCAGTCCCTATTCAGCAGATCCTAGGAACTCTTTTGTCTATAAGAACTCATTTCTGAAGTAAAATCTTATTCGAAAAACCCGCTCCGACTTACAAAAAAAAAAAAAAAATTTCAAAATAAAAAAAAAAAAAATCCTAAACAAAATCTATATCTCACTCATAAATATTGAAGAGCTTCTGTTCGAAATCCTGATATCTTTAAAATCTATTCCCATCATATCTATTAAAAAGCTTAGTATTTCAATCAAAAATAGACACAACTTAACATTTCATTTTAAAAATAATATCAATAAAACTAAATACAATATATAAAAGGGAATCAATATTCGAGACAAAAAAGAGAAAATTAAATGGAAAATAAATAGAAATAATAATAACAATGATATACTGTCGTTTCGTCAATTTTAGATACTTGAGCTTAAGTGTTTGCCTATCTGAAACGTGCTTATGCAGATAGCAAGTGTACGCAAAATGCCGTTATGAAAAATCTCTCTTGACCGTT